CCTGCATGCCCCCTACTGAGGATGGAGCCTGCAACTCAGGCATGTGCCCTTGGCTGGAATCGAACCTGGGACCCTTCAGTCCACAGGCTGACACTATCCACGGAGCCACGCTGGCTAGGGCTCCATCGATTTTTTTAGTCATTAAACTACAACCACAACAACAAATTGCACAAGTGACACAGCACGTTGTAGAGTTTCCAACAACACAGAGAGAGAAAAACGAAAACAGAGGCATCCTCCCGAGTCCCCGCCGAGGAAGCCTGTTTCCCAGCCGCCCCGGCCTCGCTCCATGCGGTCCTGGGAGGCGGGTGGGCGAGGACCCGGGGCTAAGGCGTGGGGCATGGGGCAGCACACGACGTTCACTGTGACCCACGGTCCTCACTGTGGGCTCACCGTGGGCACGGCCTCACCCCGGGCCACGGGCCGGCACAGAGCCGGGCCTCAGAGGCCATGCCGCCAGCTCCGGCCACATCCCTAGGAACTGCGCCGGCTTCTGCTTGCACACGGCCGGTGGAGGGAGCTCATCGCTGACCGAGGCTGGCCCTTCCGGGGGCGGCTCTGCCTGTGGGAGTTCTTCCAGCTTCTCGGCGGCTTCCTGGCCCGAGTCATGGCTGTGAGTGGAGGAGTGGGAGCCGGACCCCGAGTCCACGTGCTCTGACTCGGCGCTCCTGCCCTCACTGGGCACAGCCCGTCTGCGAGATAGGCTTCCCTCGCAGCCTCACTCGGTTTGGAGCGAGGGGGGCAGAGGACGTGGTAGGACTGGCCAGGCCACAGACGGCCAGCTGGTGAACACTCAGGGAACCCCAAAGAAATGTCCTGCAGGAATGCCCCCTCCCCCCAGGGCCAACCTCTGCAAGAGCCGGTGAGGGCCTCGGCTCCCTCAGGAAGCCACCCTCAGCCCCCAGCCCCGGCCCAGCAGAGTGGGTGCTCTGTCCTGTGTCCGGACATGTTGTTGCCAGGGGCAACACAGGACAGCACAGTGATCTCTTTACAGCGGCGGTGACAATAACAGCTAACACTTACCGGGTGCTTTCTCTAGGCCAGGCGTGTTGAGTGCTGTCCATACATGTACTCATGTCACCCCACGCCCCACGGAGGCAGGAGCCATTATGATTATCACAGGAGAGACAAGCGGGGTTTGGGTCCTTGCCTCCACACCGAACCCCTGCCCTCACCGAGCTGGGAAAGCTCACCCAGCCCCCAGCACCCCTGGGTATCCGTGTCTCCCTCCCACCCACAAGCCGCTGGAAGGGCTGGGCTCTGAGAAGCACCGGGAAGCAGCAGGGACCGCACCAGCCCAGTGCCACCCACAGCCCAGAGCGGGTAGCTTGTCAGTGACCGAAGCCTCTGGGGCAGGGCGGGCGGGCTCTGGGCGGCCAGGACAGAGGGGGTGGGCACCTGGGGGTAGGGGGGAGAGGGCTCACGGCGGCCTCCCCCGCCCAGGACGGCTACATCGACTTCATGGAGTACGTGGCGGCTCTCAGCCTGGTCCTCAAGGGGAAGGTGGACCAGAAGCTGCGCTGGTACTTCAAGCTCTACGATGTGGACGGCAACGGGTGCATCGACCGGGACGAGCTGCTCACCATCATCCGGGTAACTCCAGGTGCAGAGGGCCGGCCTGGGCGGGGCGGGGGCTGGCGGACTGGAGCTCAGAGCGGGTTTCAGTCAGCGGGCAGAGCTGCGATCTCTGCAGGGGGCAGGATGGAACGGCGGTCCCTGGGGCAGCTCTGACCTCACGTTCCTTCCCCTGTCTGGGCCTCAGTTTCCTCCTGTGTCCCAAGAGACTGAATAGCTAAGTCTCAGCTCTGCCTCCACTCCCCACGCAGCCCCACCACCACGGAGGAGGGCTGAGTCAGGATGGGCCTCTCACTTCTTCCTCCCTGCAGGCCATCCGAGCCATTAACCCCTGCAGCGACTCCACCATGAGTGCGGAGGAGTTCACCGACACCGTCTTCTCCAGGATCGATGTCAATGGGGATGGTGAGGAGGCCCGGGGAGGGGTCACCAGGGTGTAGGGTCCCAGCACAGACCCGGATGCTAGGGATCCCTAGACCTGACCTTGGTCTCTGGCTCCTTTGCCTCCCCGCCCCCCCCCCCAGCTGCTTCCCCTGCAGCGGTCTTGTGCCCCTCCAAAGACTCCAGCTCTGATCTGATGGAACTCTGGTGCCCAGGAGCCACACCCCCGCCTCCCCGTGACCCCCTTTCTCTCTCCAGGGGAGCTGTCCCTGGAGGAGTTCATGGAGGGCGTCCAGAAGGACCAGATGCTCCTGGACACGCTGACGCGGAGCCTGGACCTCACCAGCATTGTGCGCCGGCTCCAGAATGGGGAGCAAGACCAGGAAGGGGCCGGGGGTGGTGCGGCTGAGGCGGCCGGCTGAACCAGCCCCCATGCTTCTGTGTTGGGTGGCGGGAGGGTGTGGTGGTGCTGGTGTCGCCATTGTTGCTTTTATAGTAGATAGTCCTCAGAACAAACTCTCCACTCAGCTCGCCTCGCTGGGCTGCACAGTGGTAGCACAGGGCCAGGCTGGGGTCCAGAGGTGGGGGCAGTGAAGGACAGTTTCTGAACCTGTGTGACTCCGTTGGTGGTGACTGCTTCCTGCTGGGGGCGCTCAGCAGCCCTCTGCCATCGGCCACTCCCCAGCTCCCCCCCCCCCCCCCCAGCTTCTCCAGGCCCCCTCTCTAGGCATGGAAGTGCCCAGCTGATCTGATGGAACCTCTGGAGCCTGTGGCTGCAGCCTCCATCCCATTGCTACAACGAGCTCCAGGACCACCCAGCCAACGTGTGTGCTTTGCATGGACTCGCCCTTCCCGCTCAACAAGCATTTATGGAACCCCTGCTGTGTGCTAAGGCTAGATGTTAGGTGTGCAGAGAAGAGGAGCCTTCTCATCTTCAAGGAACTCACAGACTAAGCTCGTGGTAATAAAACTAGTGGCCCGGTGCATGAAATTCGTGCACATTAAAAGGCGATTAATTAGAGGAAGTATTTTAATATTGCTATTTGCCCTCTCTCTGTAATAGAAGTGTCAGAGATGAAAGAAAATTAGTAAAATGTATATGAAAACCTTCCTCCTGTCAGAGTCCGGGGTGTGCCGAGAGACCTAGAGTCAAGTCCCGCCCACCACCCACACGTGCTTTGAAAACACAGGAGACCTAGACACGGCCAGCCCCACCCCCATTGGGTGAGACCCAGACCCAGCTGGCCCCACCCCCATCAAGCTCCTCTGGGAGGGGGTGCAGCCTCAGGTCCTCCAGCCTGGCGCTGGGTGGGGGGCGTGGCCTAAGGTCTCCCATCAAGCTCTGACAGGCGAGGGGCGTGGCCTGAGGTCCCCTGTCAAGCCCTGCTGGGAAGGTGGTGCGGCCGGAGGTCCCCCAGCCCAGCACTGGGGTGAGGGGCATAGTCTTTGGTCTCCTGGCCCAGCGCCAGGGGAGGGGTGTGGCCTGAGGTCCCTCGCCCCGGCCAGATGCCATGCAGCCTCAGGTTCCTGATGTTCAGTCATGATGTTCCAGCTTCCTGGCTAATTTGTATATTCCTCTATTATATAGATAGATGTGCTAAGGGAAGCTATGCATGGACTCCTGCAGGGGCACAGGGAACTGAGAGTGAGTCGGGCTCAGAGACAGCCTCACAGAGGTGGTCCTTGTCTTTGAACATGAAGGAGGAATTGGGGTTGCATGTGGAGAAGGTGGTGTGGGGGGAGGTTGGAGGGTGCATTCCGTGTGATGTGTTTGTGTCGTATGGGGGGGGCTGTGTGACATGGGGAGGAGTTTCCTTAGGTGTAAGTTGAGGGTGTCTCTTAGGATTTACATTTTACCAAATTTGAAACAGTAAGGGGTCATCATATCCATTTTCAGGGAGCACCTCCAAGAGCTCCAGTTGTGGGGCTGTTTTGGGGGGTGGGGGAAACACTCCTTCAAGAGGTTACAGTGCTACCGAGGAGATGAGGACGGAGTGTTTGGATGGGAGCGCAGATCCGAATCATGCCTAATGACGGGCCACACGTGCGTGCATTCACACCCTGTGGGAAGGTATGCTGGAGTCGGATGTTGACCAGAAAGTGAAGGAGGATGAGGTGGTATTGTAGAAAGTCCTCGATGATCCAGAGGAAACCCATATTTATTCAGAAGTGACCGTGCCAACCTCCTGCTTCCTTGCTGGCTGCCTTGTGGCAGAGGGTGCCTGTGCCTGGTCCCACAGCTCTGTGATCACTGGGGCAGCCGGGCCAGCCCATCTCTCCAGCTACAGTGACACCTGGCATCAGTCGGGAAGTGGGGCGATCTGTTCCTGGTGGGGCATTCTTTGCACACCCCAACTTCAGGAAAACCTGTCCAAGGACCTGGGGAGACAGGCTGAACCCCTTGTGCCCATTTTTCAAGATGCTCTCTCTTCTGGGCTGTGAGTCTTCACTTCGCTGGGTGTGTGTGGGGTGCATGGAGTTGATAAAAACACAGAGGGAGGGAGGAAAGGGGGAGAGGGAGAGAAGCCCTGGCTGCAGAGAGCCCCCCTGGGGGCTGAGAGGGCGCATGTTGCTCACACCCATCCTGTCCATCACGTGGAAGCCAGCCAGGGCCTGAGCACGGACACAGAGGGAGGTGACGGTCAATGCCGGGGCAGCTGCAGGCACAGGGAGCTGGCACTTCTGCTCTCTGGCGGCAGATCCTGAAGGTCGGAGCTGGGAGGGTGTCTAGACCATTGGATAAGGACGTTCCCCCATCATCACCCCACCCCACCTTCATGATTTGGGGCATCTCTGTGTCCCACCTGGATTATTACTTTTTCTGTAATCAACCAGTTTTCACCTAAAATTTATTCCTATAAAAGCCTTTATATGAACATCAGACCTATGAAGCCACAGGGTCAGCAGGTTGGTTTATTTCTCTACATCAACATAAAAGCACACCTCTCCAGGGTAAAGCAGTGTTTTCCCGGGTCCCGCTTAAGTGGGTCATGCTGGGTGGCACTGCCCAGGGCCTTGTGCTCTCAAGGGTGCCTCTGGCTCAGCCCCCCATCAACCAGGGTGGCTCCATTTTAATCTAGTTTCTACACTGGGGTTGTGCACAGAATTTGTGTAACGAAAATAATTCAAATTCCAAAAAATAATCATCTGAACATGCTGGTCTGGTCCAGGCCTGCTCCCTGTGCAGACCAGGAAACCGAGGTCCGAAGGAGAAGTGGCCGTCGGGGTCACACAGCAGGTCTGACCTAGAACCCAGGTCATCAGCCTCCCCCATCCTCTCCCCCTGTTCTCCCCAGTTCTCTCCATTCCCTAAGGAGACATGTTGGGCTTGTGGCTGGGAATCGTGGGAGGGCAATGCTGGGGAGGGCGTTGGAGAGGCAAGTGTGGGGCCAGGGGTAGGGAGGGGAGCAGAGGGTGGGGTGCAGCGGGGGCTGAGGGAGCAGACAGCTGACCCTCCGAGGGCGGGAGAGCCCAGCCTGCCTCCCCACAGTGTCCCTGCTGACACCCAGGAGGGGACAACTGGGGAGGAGTGAGCACCCTCTGTGAACATCCTCAGGATCCGGGGGGAGGTAACTACCCCCTCACACACTAGGTGAGTCTTCTTCAGACTCAGCGCCTCCCAGGCCCGCCTCCTGCCAGCCTGCCTCCCACTGGGTGGGCATGCTCACTGTGAGCTGGGCCTGTGGGACCCACCCCTCAGGGCGCCCTGCTTCCAGCTAAGAATCATGTAGGGATTGGCGGGGGCCCCACCATGGCTCAGCCCAGGAGCGGCTGGAGGGGGTAAGCTGAGGGGGCTGGGCCAGGCCCCCTGCCCCCCTGCTCCGGACACCCGCTGAGCCTGGAGTCTGGGCGGGGCAGGTGCCCTCAGAACATGGCGCTCCTCCGCCTCTGCTGGGAGATCCAGCCGCCCGGGCTCACGTCCATCTGCAGCATCTTCATCACCCACTGATCCCGGCGGGCGCCCTCAACGAACTCGCTCAGAGACAGCTGGCCTGGAGGGGGCGGGATGGGCGTGTGGGAGAAGGGGAGAAACGAGCAGGGGAGGAGGGGGGAGGAGAGGAGAGGCCTTCAGGGGGGGGGGGGGGGGCGCTGCAGCTCCCACACAGAGGAGCCACAGAGCGGGGCCTGAGCTCAGCGCCCGGGATCCTCCCGGTCCTCCTGGAGCCTTCAGGCTTCTAAAGGGACTTCTTTGCAAATGAGCTAAAGTGTTCCTTTGGCCCGTGGTGCCCTGGGAGTGCCCTGGAGGGCTCTTCTGGTGTGCTCCCAACAGCTGCCTCCTGCACAGCCACGCAGTCCTCTCAGCCATTGCCACCCCTTTTCCAGACCAGGTACTGAAAGGGCAGTGCGGGGTTAACTCCTCTGAATGAGAGGGCAGGGCGGAACTCCTGATCCTCCATTTTGTGTAACTGAACCCTAGCCCTTACCCAACCAATCGGGGTCAGCCAAAGCAGTGACATCACCGCCCCTATAAAACCCTTCCATCTGCTGAAGCTCGTGCTCTTCTGCCATGCCGCTGTCGGTGTGAGTGGAACAGAGCCCATGCTAGCATGGAACAGGCTTTCTGCTATTGCATCGGACTCGGCTCCCTGGTAGTCCTTGGGGAATCACGAAATCTGGGCATCCCAGTACCATCCGTCTGCCCACTCGCTCGGTGGCCCGGCCTCCACCAGCCTCTTGGTAGGAGTTTCAATGGCTCCCACAAAACCCTTTGCTATCTCGTGGTGTGCTCTGCACACCCAGCTCGCAGATGAGGACGCCAGCTGTTGAGAGGTGGAGGGGCTGCCCCAGGTCCATGGCCAGGAAGTGGGGGTGCTGCGGGGGGCACCCCCTCCGCCCCTCTTACCGTCTCCGTTCGTGTCCACCAGGAGGAAGATCCTGTCCACGACCTCCTCCGGCGTGAGCAGCTGGCCTTGCTGCCCGGCCTCCCCTTCCACCCTGCAGGCTTTCTTCAGCTTGTAGATCGCCTGTGGAGGAAGCCAGAGGCATCGAGGGGCCCTATAAACTCCGCCCCTCCCCCAGCCCAAAGGCCAGCACCCTCTCCCCAGCGCTGCTCCCCGACTGTGCGGCCGAGGGCTGCAGGACCCAGGTCCAAACCAGCAACGATGTGCCCACCGGCCTCCTCGCACCTGCCCTCACATGCCACCCCACCCCGATGCCGCCCCACCCCGATGCCGCCCCACCCCGATGCCGCCCCACCCCGATGCTGCCTGTGGTTCCATTGTGAGCCTCAAAGACCTCTAATGAGCCCTGGCAGGTGTGGCTCAGGGCAGGCGTGTGCCCCGGTTGTGGGTTAAATCCCAGTCCGGGCACGTGGGGGAGGCAGCAGATCCATGTTTCACTTTCACATCAACGTTTCTCTCTCTCTTGTCGCTCTCTCTCTGTTCCTCTCTCTCTCAAATCAATAAAAGCATGAGGATTGCCGAAAACGGTTTGGCTCAGTGGATAGAGCGTCGGTCTGCAGACTGGAGGGTCCCAGGTTTGATTCCAGTCAAGGGCATGTACCTTGGTTGCGGGCACATCCCCAGTGGGGGGTGTGCAGGAGGCAGCTGGTCGATGTTTCTCTCTCATTGATGTTTCTAGCTCTCTATCCCTCTCTCTTCCTCTCTGTAAAAAAATCAATAAAATATATATATATTTAAAAAAGCATGAGGAGCCGGGACCGGTTTGGCTCAATGGATAGAGCGTCGGCTTGGGGACTGAAGGGTCCCGGGTTCGATTCCGGTCAAGGGCATGTACCTTGGTTGCGGGCATATCCCCGGTAGGGGGTGTGCAAGAGGCAGCTGATCGATGACTCTCTCTCATTGATGTTTCTAACTCTCTATCTCTCTCCCTTCCTCTCTGTATAAAAATCAATAAAATATATTTAAAAAAAATAAAGCATGAGGATTAAAAACACACACACACACCCATAAACCTCCAAAAACACAAAACAAGTCTTAAACAAAAACAAAAACCCTCCAGTGAGGGATGTGCATGGTCCTGTGATGATTTCAACACTACTTTACAGAGGAAAATGGAGATTCAGCGAGGAAAAGAGAATTCTTTTTTTAATATATATAAAAGAGTAATATGCAAATTGATCAAACAGCTGAACAACTGGTCACTATGACACACACTGACCACCAGGGGGCATATCCTCAACGCAGGAGCTGACGGGGGGAGCACCATTCAGCCACAAGCCGGGCTCACAGCTGGCGAGAGCAGCCTCCGCAGCCCCCACTGCAGCACTGAGGATGCCTGACCGCGGCTTAGGCTGATCCTGGTGGGAAGCGAGCCTAAGCAGGCTGCTAAAGGGTTCCTTAGTCTCCCAGACTGCTAAAGGGTGCAGGCTGAGCCGAGAAACACCCCCCTCCAGTGCACGAATGTTGCACCCCGGGCCTCTAGGTTAGCATTTTTATGAATGTGTGTGTCTATGTGTGTGAGCTGGGATGACGGAGACACAGGTGTTCGGACTAGAGGGAAAGAACAGGTTCCCCCTGTGTTTCTCTCAGCAAGGCCATGTTTGTGCCGTGAAATGGAGACATACACCAATAGGGCCTCGCTCAGTTCTCAGATTGGGTGTCCTCTGAGGACAGAGGTGTCTGGCCAATCCCCAGGGTCTCACTGCCCAGCACAGCACCTGGTACAAAGCAGCCCCCTGACTGACTGGGAGCCTCAGGGGTTACAGCCAGCTCCAGCACACCCCATCCCAATGGGTGAATTTGGACAAGCACAGAACCTCTGTGAGGGGATTTCTTTTACTTATTTATTTTTTAAAAATTTTTATTGACTTTTAGAGAGAGAAGAAGGGAGAGGGTTAGAGAGATAAAAACAATGATAAAGTAGCATCACCCATCGGCTGCCTCCTACACATCCCCCGCTGGGGATCAAGCCCACAACCTGGGCATGTGGCCTGACCAGGGATTGAACCAGCAACCTCTTGGTTCCTGGGTTGATGCTCAACCACTGAGCCACACCAGCTGGGCTGTGAGGGGGTTTCCTTTCCTGTAAAATGGACTGACGGTGCCCACCAGCAGCGCTGGGCAGGGACAGCTGGCGCCGGTCTCCTGTCAGAGTCTGCCCTCCAGTAGGTACTGACTTCCTTGCTCACCCTTGTTAGCGGTCTTTTCAAGCACCAACTTTCTTTTGTGCGTTTTTTTCTATTTCATTACTGTCTGCTCTTTACTGTGTCCTTTCCTTCCTCCCCCTTCCTTTGGGTCTAATTCACTCTTTTTTCTAATTTCTTGAGATGACTGCTTGGATCATTGACTTTCAGCCTCTCGTTTCCTAATCTATACACTTTAAGGCGATACATGGTCTGCAAGCCCAGCTTTAGCTGCATTCCACAAGTTTTGTTGTTATTTTTGCATCATGATTCAGTTCACAATAGTGTGTGTGTGTGAATGTGTGTGTGTGAGTGTGTGAGTGTGTGTGTGGGTGTGTGTGTGAATGTGTGTGTGTGAGTGTGTGAGTGTGTGTGTGGGTGTGTGTGTGAATGTGTGTGTGTGAGTGTGTGTATGTGTGTGCGCTTGTGATTTTTGTGTCTTTGATTCATGAGTATTTAGAAGTGTATTGCCTAATTTCCAAGCACGTGGGGATTTTTAGTGTATTTTATCATTGATTTCCTGCTGAATTCCACTGCGGTCAGGGAGCAGGCGGGAAGGATTTCGATGCGCAGCCCCAGAGAACCCCGCTTAGGGCCGGCCCTCAGCCCGGTGCTCCCGTGGGTGCTGGCCGGGGCGGACACTGACCTCCACGATGTCCAGCAGCTCCGGGCGGTCGATGCAGCCGTTGCCGTCCTTGTCGTAGATCTTGAAGGTCCACTTCAGCTTGTGCTCCAGCGTGCCCCTCAGCACCAGGTTCAGCGCTGCCACGTACTCCAGGAAGTCGATGGTGTTGTCCTGTTGGGAGTGGGAGCGGTGAGCCCTCCCGGCCCGCTGCCCACCTCCAGGGCACAGGGGGCACCGCGCTGGGCATCCACCCCCACAGGCTCAGGGCTTGGCTCGTCCTGGCAATGCGTTGGGCCTCTGCACCTTTGCTCACGCCGTCCTCCCCGCTGGCCCCCGTCCTCTCCACTATCACCCGCTCCACCTGCTCGTCAGGGCTCAGCTCCACGGCCCCCTCCTCTAGGAAGTCCTCCTGCTCAGCCCGCTCAGCCCGTGATCTCTCCCCGTCTCACCCTCACAGCACCTGCCGCCTGTTCTGTGCAGCTCGGGGCTCACTCCGGCATCGGCACCCAATTGCTTCGTAGGTAAGCCTCCTTCCCTAGCTAACGTGCGCTTCGGGGAAAAAGGGAGGGGTTGCTTTGCTTTTGTTTCTCTCTCATGCCTAGCACGTTGCCCTTTCTGCAGAGTCAGGGTCTCAAACATTTACAAATGCCCTCGCTGGTTTGGCTCAGTGGATAGAGTGTGGGCCTGCAGACTGAAGAGTCCCAGGTTCGATTCTGGCCAAGGGCACAAGCCCGGGATGTGGGCTCAGTCCCCAGTAGGAGGCGTGCAAGAGGCAGCCAATCGATGGTTCTCAGCATGGATGTTTCTATCTCTCTCCCCTTCTCCCTTCCTCTCTGAAATCAATAAAAAAATATTTTAAAGAAATATATTTGTGAATCAATGACTAAATGATCGACTTAATCTGAATCTGAGACCACGGTAGTTTTGAAAGATTAAGAAGCTGTGCTCACATTGAAAATTCCTTTGGCGCTTCCATTCACACAGTGCCCGAGGGAAGGGAGACAGGCCGTGCAGCCCCTGTGGACCTGACCCTGAAGGACAGGCCTGCGCCCCACCCCACCCAGGAAGCGGGGAGACGGAGCTCAGGTGCTAAGAGGCCAGAGGGAGGAGGAGGGCCACTTCAGAGGTGACTCTGAGCAGGAAACCGAACTTTCCTGCAGCAGAAATGTGACGGCAATGATCATTCTAGCAGCAGTGAGTGGAGGCTGGGGAACCGTGTGACTCAGGAGCGGGAGGGGAGCTGCTGGTGCAGGCCGCCATGGGCCGGTGGGCCCGGGTCCCAGGCTGAGCTTCCCGGGCGGATTGCAGGGTGGGGACCTCACTCTCCAAACCAAATCCCTGAGGCCTCAGCTCCCAGGAGTGTCTCGTTCCCGTGGCCGTGTCATCAGAAACGGTGCTGCCGGCCCAGAGCACCTCTGTGGGGCTCCCTGGGCCAGGCCACCCCGAGTCCCAGCCCCAGACGGGGTGCCTGGGGGAGCAAGCTGTGAGCAACAGGAGAACAACAGGAGAAGACGGCCGAAAGCCGGGCAAATAGCAAAGAAGCCTCTGGGTAAACCAAGGAGAAAATAAAAGGAGCCTATCTCAACACCTGAAGTGTTTTATTCTGTATCTCTTACGTAGTTCCTTCTGGTCACCTTGCTCTCCCTCCCCCCCACCCCCACCCGCCCACACACACTGTGTATTTACATAATTGAGATCGGACTGTAGCTATAGTTTCAGTTCCTGAATTTTTACTTTAAAATGTCCCAGGTCTTCACAATTATTGAAAATCACACCTTCCATTTTCTGAGGTGTCCCGGACACTCCCTCTCCGAACGCGGGTGCAGTGTTTTACACGGCACAGCGAACACCTCTGGGCACACGTGTTTCTCCAGCGTCTCTGGTGGTTTCTTTGGGCTAGACTAGGGGTGTCGAACTCAATCAGAGAAGGGGCCAAAATCTAAAATCCAGCCTAAATCGCTGGCCGAATGGTTTACTGAACAGTCATAAACTGTCATGGTGATGGAAACGCAGCGGAGTGCAGTGATGACAGCGCGGTGCGGGCCACATTGCAAGGCCTGGCGGAACGGATTTGGCCCTCGGGCCTTGTGTTTGACACATGTGGTAGAGTCTTAGCAGTGGCTGTTTGTCCCCACCCCCACTCATCTTTAGCGTACTGTTTTTGTTTTTTGGGTTTTTAATTTTCTGAAACAATTGTAAGATACGTATTTTTAAAAATTGATTTCAGAGAGAGAAAGGAAGAGATTGATAGAAACATCAATGATGAGAGAGAATCGCTGATTGGCTGCTTACTACTGGGGATCAAACCTGAAACCCAAGCATGTGTCCTGACCAGGAATTGAACTGTGACCTCCTGGTCTGTGGGTTGACGCTCAACCACTTGAGCCACACCAGCCAGGCAGTAGGTGTATAGTGTTATGAAATGTTTATCACATACGTAGATATGAGTAACTCTCAACACAAACTCACTTGTTACCTGTCAGTAGTCACATTCTTCTCCCAATGGTGACATCTGGCAAACACTGATCTGTTTATTCCCATCACTATAATAGTTCCACTTTGGGAATGGAATTAGAATCATATAGTATGTAAGCCTTCAAGGTTGGCATATATATAATTGATTTCAGAGAGGAAGAGAGAAGGAGAGATTGAAATATCAATGATGAGAGAGAATCGTTGATCTGCTGCTTACTACACACCCCACACTGGGGATCAAGCCCACAACCCAGGCATGTGCCCTGAATGGAATCAAACCGTGACCTCCTGGTTCACAGGTCGATGCTCAACTACTGACCCGCACCAGCTGGGCTGAAGGCAACTTTTTTTTCTTTATAATTCCAGTTATTTTTATTTTATTTATTATTTTTTCAAATCCTCAACCATAGATATTTTTCCATTGATTTTTAGGGAGAGTGGAAGAGAGAGGGAAGGACAGAGAGGAACATCGATGTGAGAGAAATATATTGATTGGTTGCCTCCTGCACGAGCCCCAACCAGGGCCCAGGCAGGGAAAAGCCTGCAACCAAGGTACCCTTGTCTGGAATTGAACCTGGGACCCTCTGGTCTGCAGACCGACACTTTATCCACTGACCCAAACCGACTAGGGATGAAGGCAACTTCTTATTGCTAAGTAGTATCCACTGCATGTGGGCCCAAAAGAAATGTCTGTCCCTCCCTTGACTACCTAGAAGACCTGGAATTTGGGGCCTTGTCCATAATTGATTTCCAGTGGTAACCTCTTCTGAGCTGTCTGAACCGCAGGACAAATTGCCATTTCCTGAACATCTGCTCTTTTTATCCTGCAATGACCGCGTGAAGCCCCCAAGGCGCCTGAGCCCACCCCTCGCTCAGGACGTCCTGCGCCCACATTCCCTTCCGGCTCTGAACCTCCCGTGCAGGTGGGTGTCTGGCTCCCCTGTGTGTGGGGTTCCCAGAGGAGGAATTAAATTTGCTTATTTTCTCCTGCTAATCTGTCTCCTGTCTATGTGACGATTAGACTGGTTAGAAGAACCTTGACAGTGGAGGTCCTCCCCTAACCCCTTGCCCCACAAGAAGCATTTTCTGGAGCGCCCCCTACAGACAAGTGGTCTCCCCGTGAGGCTACCAGGAAGCCAGGGCCCTTTCCCGGAAGCTTCCGGCTGGGACTAATCCCTCCCTGTGCCCCGCCCTCCACCCGTCAGCCTTAATTACCCCCCGAAGCCCAGGATGACGGAAACAACTGTCTACTCCAGAGGCAGGCGCAGCATGACAGGCGTGTGATCTGCTCTGGGATCGTCTGCCCTGTTTCTCCCTGAATTGGCTGCACTGGTGACCAGCCCTGACCCCAGCACATGTTACATAAGGGTCCCAAGAGACATTTGAGCTTCAACCCTTTGCTTCCATTCCAGTGCGTCCTCCCTGCTGGTCTCCACCACACCCGCTCCTGTTACCCCAGGGTTTGACGTGTGAGCTGGATCTACGAGCTCTTTTGATTTTATTTGCCCCAGAAATCTCAGACCAGTTGCCTGGAAATGAGACTCACTGATATACAGATGGTGCCAAGCTGGGAAGCAGAGTTGGGTGTGGGCTTGGAGACGACATGGGAAGAGGAGAGAAAGAGGGCTCAGCCCCTGACGGAGGAACTTACGAGCAGCACACCTCCCAGGAGAGTTCTTCCTGGCGGTGGAATGTCAATCCAGAGGGGCTGGTGGAGTCAGAAAACCAACAACGGATGCCCAAACAGTCAGTGAAAATTTGATGAGCTACGGGGTATTTCCTTTGTCTTGAGCACCCTCGGGCCCGTAAGATGCTTACTGATTACAAAGGGAGTAGAGTAACTTGGAGTGGAGCAACCCAGCAGGCACCACATGACTACATGAAGAAGTCAACAACCCCAGTAAAGGGACAGACCAACGTCACCTGCCCCTGACATCGTGCCCTGAGGACAGATGCCACTTCTGCCACAAGTGCACACTCTGGGTCTGAAATGTCAGGGTCAAATAAGACAGAGAAAAGCAGAAATTAAAGGATCCAAGTTCAAGGTGAGGAGACAGGAAAGTAAACGCAAAGAGCGATCACCCCACACTGCCCAAGGAAACAAAGCCTCGAAGGGCAGTATCGGCACAAATTGACCAAATTTGAATATGGATTGTTAATTAGATAATAGAATTATGTCAGTGCTAAATTTCCTGACTTCAATATCTGAATTAGGTTATCTAAAAGAACGACCTTATATATTTTATTGACTTTTTACAGAGAGGAAGGGAGAGGGATAGAGAGCTAGAAACGTCGATGAGAAACATCGACCAGCTGCCTCTTGCACACCCACTACTGGGTATGTGCCTGCAGCCAACGTACATGCCCTTGGCCGGAATCGAACCTGGGACCTTTCAGTCCGCAGACCGACGCTTTACCGCTGAGCCAAACCAGTTTCGGCCGACCTCATTTTTTAGAAGAAACACAGAAATACTTAGGGATAAAGGGCATAATGTCTTCAATTTTCTCTGAAGTTTGAAATCCTATCAAAGTAAAAGTTATAAAGAAAGGAGAAAGAAATTGATGAATGTATATGCTACTTTGTAAGACAAAATGGGGTAGAAGGGGCCCAGCTATATTATGCCCAGGGCTAAATAATCTATTTTAGCCCCTGAATTGTTATATTGAATTTTTAGTTGAATAAGAGGAACAGCGATACATTTAGGATAGTAAGTTTTGTGAAATAGGACCTGCTTTTAAAAAAATAATTTTTTCTCTTTATAAAACACAAACTGCCTCCCAGTCAGGCACACTTGTCTGGGAGTCTGGACCCCTGAGGAGATGATCTTGGGCAGGTGGATTCACTTCCTTTTGCCCCCGTTTCCTCATCATTTAATCTGAAGTGACAAACCCCGCTCGCACCCTCACCGGCTGGCTGCTGACTCAGAAGCTGAGAGGAGTCTGGGTCTGTGCCAACGTGGCTGGTCCCATTGGGGCAGCTCTTTTGCTTCAAATTATTAGAGTGACAGGGGCTGGTGGGGGTGGAAGCCGGGCCCTCAGGCTGCAAAGCCCTGGCTATCCACACAGAGAGGACTGGCCAGTGTGCCCGCTGCCCAGCCCACCGCCAGCACCAGGAGTGGAGAGAGGGACAGTCGGAGGAAAGTGGAGATGGAGAGGAGGGAAGAAAAGGTGGGAAAGCTCAGAATGACCAGAGAGGGAGAAGGAGAGAAAGAATGAGACAGAAAAGGAGAGGGGAGTGGAGAGAGAGGAAGAGCAGGAGGACTGGGAACTGGGAGCCCCCGTGAGGCTGTTCTTTGAGCTCAAGGATGAGATGTGGCCAAGTGGACCGGCCGCCAGCCCCCGCTTCAGGGCGCCTTACCCCGTTCTTGTCGAAGGCGCGGAACATGCCCTCCACGTACTGGGTGGCCTCCTCGTTGCCCGTGACCTTGAAGAAGCGCTTAAACTCGTGCATGAAGAGCGTGCCGCTGGGGCACTCCACCACAAACTTCTTGTACCACTCCTGGAGCTCCGCCACGTCCACCTCGCCGGCCGCCTCCGCCTGCTCCCAGCTGAACTGCTGCCCCATCCCGGCCCCGAGCGGCGGGGGCGAGGGCCCGTCTCCTCCGGCTGCTGCTGTGGATTCTTACACAGGGTCCGCTCCCTCCCTTTCCTCCGCTTAGCCAGCCTCCTCACCATCCCCCGGGCAACTGAACATGATGGACAGGGGAGGGCAGGCGACAAGGTGGACAGAACCAGGCCAGCTAAGCGTCCTAAGATCATTAGAAGATTCCCTCGGAAGGTCTGACCTCCAACTTGCTAAGCTCCCCCCAGCCTCACCCGTCCTCTCCCTATTGTTCACCGCTCAGCTACGCCACCCAGAAGATTCTGAAGAGGGAGAAGGGGGGGAAACTGAGGGGAGGGGGGAGTGACAACCAGGTGGGAAGACAGGCTGAGACCCTCCCAGACCCTCCCTTGCCCCTTTATTTTATTTACTTATTATTTTTTAAAAAATATATTTTATTGATTTTTTTTTTTTTTTTTTTTTTTTTTTTACAGAGAGGAAAGAAGAGGGATAGGGGGTTTGAAACATCAATGAGAGAGAAACATCGATCAGCTGCGCAACCAAGGTAACATGCCCTTGACCGGAATCGAACCTGGGACCCTTCAGTCTGCAGGCCGACGCTTTATCCACTGAGCCAAACCGGTTTGGGCATTTATGCTAATTTTTTATTGCAGTATAAAGATGATACCTCCAAGAAATCAGAAAGCCTGCAGCACTGATTTTTCTAGATCTGAGGGGCAGTCATTCCACTGACTGTCCGTCTAGGGGCAGCACCGCCGCCTCCCATTGGGTGCTCACACCTCAGGTGTCGGTACCGAGGCCTGACCTGTCATGGCTCTCTGCCTCCATGTGCCCCTAACCTCTCCGCTGTTCTAACTTCCTCCCCATTCCTGAAGTAGGAACTCTACTTCCTGTCACCTGCCAAGTGCTGGTGGGTTTCCCCCCCCACAGCCCCCACCCATCAGGGTCTGGAGAATAAGGCCAGTCTCCTCCTTCCTCTTCACCATTGCTTCCCCTCTGTCTCCTTTTCCCTCAAAAATGCCGGTCCCTTCGAAGCCACGTCCGCCTCCACGTACTCATCCTTGTTGCCATTATTCACTGTGACTTCACGTGTGTCTCACAGTATCCGTGCAGGGACAGCCCGAGGGGGAGAGCTGACCCACCCCACACTCAGGCCTCCAAGGTCCGTATCTCCTTAGTTCCCAGAAGCTCTCCTTCCCTCCCACACTGGCCTCCCATCGCTGTGGTCCCGGCCCGGCCGCAGCTGCAGCATCCGGGGCTTGCTGGACACGCACATTCTCAGGCCCCACCTCGCCCACCGAGCCAGGAACCCAGGGTGGGCCCAGCATCTGTTTTCCTGGTCCTCTATATCCTCCCAGAGTGCAGCTTAGGAGCCGCTCCCAGGCGGGCCTTGCTATCAGGCTCTCTGTCCCCCCATTGTGGCATTCTAAGAATCACCTCTCCTTCCAGCTCATGTATCCTAACCCCCTCACTCTACGACACCAGCCGTTTTGAGACTTGCAACCTGTTGGTCTTGTATTTTTTAAAACACCTGTCATCTCGCTTACAGTGGATCCCATTTTCCTCTTATCCTTATCCTTATCCCCGGCCTGACACACCCGACGTTTCCTGGCCGTTACCCTGACCTTTGCTCCCCTCTCTCCCTGCAACTGCTCCCTTGGCAAAACCTGACCCTGGCTACAGCTAACCACCACCTGTGCTAACACCTCACCTGCACCCAGGAGCTGAACACAGAAACAGTCATCAAATCACGCCGGCTGCACACACATCCAACAACGGCTTACCCCTCCCTGCCGGCTTCACCTCCCCTCCCTGGGATGGCCATCGCACAACACGTCCCACCCTCCATCTTCTACTCACTTCCATGTTCAGCTGATGACCTGCCATGCTTCATTTCAGAGAATCAGGCACATCAGACAACCACCTCATCTTCCCACCGGACACACTCTCTGCATCTGAACCACGTGCTCTGCCTCCTGGTTCAGTGGAAGCAGCGTCCCCTCCCCACCTCTCCCTGCCAAGTCCTCCAGGGCTCAGCTCTCTGCACTTCCTCCCCACAGTGATTCCTTTCTCTTCTGCATCCTGCTTTTCCTTCTCTGATGGAGCAGTCCCACCTGAAGACATGCTTTCGGATCACCATTAATAAAACAAAGTCAAACAACAAAAATCTGGCTATGACGCCACCTGTAGGGTCCCACACTTTACCAGGCTCCACCATCCGACTTGTGGGTGAGTGAGTGACTCCAGGCCTAGCCTTCCAGACACCCTAGCTGATACCAAATGGAGCAATGTCCCCGCAGGGCCCTGACCAAATTGCAGGTTTGTGTGCAAAGTAAATGTCTTTGCTTTAAGCTACTAAATCTTGGGTGTTTTTCTAGGGTAGCAATCAATAACTAATCATTCTCAAGCCTGTTTTGTGTCCTCATCTTTCTTTTTTTTTTAATTTTTTTAAATTGATTTTACACAGAGAGGAATTGAGAGGGGCAGAGAGTTAGAAACATCGATGAGAGAGAAACACCGACCAGCTGCCTCCTGCACACCCCCTACTGCGTATGTGCCCGCAACCAATGTACATGCCCTTGACTGGAACCGAACCCGGAACCTTTCAGTCCGCAGGCCGAGCTCTATCCACTGAGCCAAACCGGTCCCGGCTATGTCCTCATCTTTCTTATGCTCTCAACGTACTCCAAGTGGATGCTCATCCCATCGCTCCATGAACAAGGCTTACACAGTCAGTGGTCACCAATGACCTGCTTTCATTACTTGACTTGCCAGCAGATTCATCATGGTTCACCACGTGAATTCTTCCTCCAGGTTTCAAGGACCCACGCTTGTCTGGTTTCACTCTAACCTCACTGATGGCTCATCGCCTCCATTTTACCAAATCTCTACGTGCTTGGGGCTTCCCAGGCTTGTTCTTGGTACCCTTCTCATCTCCCCACCTTCTCTCCAGATGAACTCATTCATCCCCAACATCACATACAGTTGTAGGCTGATAGCTTCCACATTTACATATTCAGCCTGGACTCTTTCCAGAACTCAGATTCACGAACTCAGCTGCCTACTAGACATCTACCCTCAGATGGCAAACTTAGCAAGGCCAAGGCCAAAGCTCAACTACTGATTTTCTTCCCAAATCCCTTCTCAACTGCAGTAATGGCATCACCATTTACCCAGTTGCTTAGGCCAAAACCTAGATGTCATTCTTGACATCTTAGGTCTCATTTCAATCTATTAGTAGGTCATTCCATCAGCTCCACCTCCAAACTACATTCTGAATCAACCACTTCTCATCACCTCCACTACGACAACTCCAGTCCAGGCCACATCCTCTCACCTGGACCACTGCAGAAGGTCCTAACCAGTCTTCCTGCCTCCTCTGGACAACCCCCTCCTCCCAGTCCACACCCAGCAGCCAGAGTAGTGTGTTCTAAGGCGCAAATCAGTTCCTATCACTCACCCGCTCCAAACCCTCCAATGGCTGCCCATTTGCACGCAGAATAAAACCCATACAGCTCATCACAGCATCTGCCCCTGCCTGCTGTTGTCACGTTCCTCTGTCCCTGTCTGCAGACACACCAAGCTCGCTGGGTCCTACCCCTGCCTGGTCCTGCTGCTTGGCCTGCTCTCCCCTCAGGCCTTCACATGGCGGCCTCCTTGACTGCCCCCCCTCCATCGCCTCCTCAAGGAATTCTGACATTATCCTACTTCATTTTCTTCAATCGTGTTTAACTGCAGTTGAAAACTATCTTATTTTTTTCCTTGTTTACTATGTCTTCCCCTTAAGAGTCTATAATGCTTGAGGACGGGGACTTCACCCGACACCATGGAATTCCCAATGCCTAGGACAGGGCTTGGCAGATACAAAGAACTCCAACACGTGTTGAGTAACCGAGCCAAGTGCCTGACACACAGTTAGTGCTGAATTAATGGGAGCTATTAGTCCTTCAAAGACAACTCCTCTTGACTCCTTTGAGTGCCTGGGTTAGCAGGTTTTTATTGATGTGAAAGATAATGGGCCTTTAGAACTAGAAGAAGCTAGCTCAGGGATTTCAACATTTCTCCCCCCTCATCACACCCGAAGACATGTGTCCATCATCGGCTCAACTGGCTCGGTGTGAAGACGGTGTCATACCTGACCATCTTTTTGAATTTATGGACATTTAAGCAAGATTGAAGAGTGATTACAGGACAGTGTGTTCACATTAAGAAATTGTACGAATGAAATGTAACTTAATTTAGCCTCTGGCTAAAGAATCTAAACTTCAAATGCCTTTTCATGTGGGTCAGTTGACCATGACCTGCCCCATTAAGACGCTGAGCTGCTGAAGTATAAATATATCATTTCGAAGAAGATTAGGACTCCACAGAGGGAAATGACAGCTTAAAGGAGTAATAATAGTAAGGGTTTAAGGAGGGCAGGGGTAGGAATTGAGCAGGGATTTGCAGAGAACCCGGGGTTCACAGCCAGTCAGCCATAAGCTTGGCTCCAGATTTAAGAAATGCTTGAGCCATAGACCGAGTCTGCTGAGCCCTCCCTGGGCCGGCCCCAGCCTACTGTCAATAACCTCCGTCATCAGCCTAACTCATGTGCTGCCCCTCACACCCTGTGGGCCTGAACACTACAGGGACCAGGAATCGCACTGTGTATTATACTTTTTATCTTTATTCAGATCACATTTACATCTTTTATGCTTTAGATTCCCCCCACTCCCAGTTGATCATTTTTACTTGTAAAATTTAGGGGAAATCAGTACATTTTACCAAGGTGAAAGGGGAAATAAATCCGGATTTTAGGTTTGAATATTCTGAGAACCTCCTACTCTTTGAAAATTAGGTTCTGGGGCTGTCCCTGTCACTAATCCGAACTCATACAAATCAGTCTCACCCTTTTTGCCTCAGCGTCATCTGTGAACAGAAAGGATACTGAATGGGGAAGTCAGAACTTGGTTTTCTGTCCCAGAAAATGGGGGTAGTAAAGATTAAATGGGTTATAAAGATTAAATGAGAATATCTGTATTGTGAAATGCCTGACATAATGCATGGCGGTGATTACAGTGCTCATTACATGCTTTCTCAGCTAAATTAACCATGACAGCCCTTCTAAGGCAACAGCTTCCCCCCTGGGACACTCGGAGATCCTTTCCAGCTGGTACCTAACCCGTGCAGTGCACAGGCATCTGGGGTGCCATCGGATTTGCACTCCATCTAGTGAGAACTATTATTCACTCATGCCTGTTATTTACTCGGAACTGTGAGGCATTCTATAAGTTACCTAATTAAACACTCCTACCTTAATGAGGAGGCATTATTTTCTACATTTTACTAACGAGTAAATTGAGGCTCTGACAGGATTAACTATCTTGTCCAAGTTTATTGCAGTTAGTGCGTTTTAATTCTTATCTGACGCAGACCTGTCTGACTCCAAGGTCCATGTTTTCCCTACTCTGCAGTAAAACTAAATGTAGGGGAGGAATGGCAGCTGACAAATAAAATGTTAAGAAATTAGACTCCTTTTAAAAAAAATGTATTTTTATTAACTTCAGAGAGGAAGAGAGATAGAAACATCAATGATGAGAAAGAACCATTGATTGGCTGCCTCCTGGATTCTCCCACTGGGGACCGAGCCCGCAACCCGGGCATGTGTCCTTGACCGGAATCAAATCCGGGACCTTTCAGTCTGCAGGCCGACACTCTATCCACTGAGCCAGACCAGCCAGGGCTGGACTCCTTTAAAACAATTGTTTTATATATTTACTGTGGTCTGTATAAGGTGACTAAGGGAATTCTTTGACAGTTTTGAAACTAGGCACCAAACAAGTCTAATTCGTAGAGTTCTATCAATAATTTCAAACAGACCATAATATTATTTTGTTTCATATGAAAAGGAAATATATTTCAGATTAGAGGAAGCAACAATGAACTCTGGGCTACCTCTCAATAATGTCACTTCCCTCCTCTCAATAATTTCACTTCATACCTGCCTTCTGGTTCATTCTACCATCAGGTCCCATTTTCTTTTCTTTTCTTTTTTATTAAAAAGTCCCGATTTTTGGAAAGAATTTTTTAATTATTTTGGACTTTTTTTTTTTAAACATATATTTATTGATTTTTTACAGAGAGGAAGGGAGAGCTAGAAACATCGATGAGAGAGAAACATCAACCAGCTGCCTTTTGCACACCCCCTACCGGGGATGTGCCCGAAACCAAGGTACATGCCCTTGACCAGAATCAAACCGGGGACCTTTCAGTCCGCAGATCGATGCTCTACCACTGAGCCAAAGCGGTTTCGGCTCAGGTCCCATTTTCTCTTACCACCTCCCATCCCCACTATGAACAGAAAGTGAGACTTGGGCATTAATTCTAAGTTTTAGAATATGCATTTTACGTGGGAGACCCAACTAAAAAAACAACACTTTCTCAGCCTACCAGGATAAAGAAATTACCTTGTTTATATCAAGATGTATGTAGGTTTCAAATACTTATGTCACAAAAGTATCACTACTTTTTGCCACTTGCATAGTTTATTTGCATATTCATCTTAAAACAATATTTTAATATGCAATTTAAAGTGCCAACCTGGGTTACAGGTTAATTGAAAATGAAAACAGTCAGACTCAATGCACCCCTTTAGCTCAGAGTAAGTAAGTCATGGGAGCTGAGTGTGCATAAATCATCCTACCACACTGCAGTGATTAATAGTGTCTAAACACATACAAAGAAGTTGTATTTATTTTTAGAGAATTATTTAAAGTTCAAATGGGTCACAAATTGCTGCTTTGCTAGATATAATTACCATTCTATTGCTCTTGTTTTATTGACTAGTTCTTAATCCTGAGGCTTATGCCTGCTTACACCCAAGATAAGCATGCTTTAGGCATTTGTGAATGACAGAGTCAGCAGCTGAGCTCGGAGGGAAGGTGGTTAGGGGCCACAAGGCTGTAATTCTTTCCATGTTAATGACAGTAATGTAAGGCTGACACATAAGCAGTATGCATTCAAAACACCGACACCTGATAGCAGGCAAGGAAGAGAGAATGGGAATTCCAGAGCGAGGGGGGGAACACTGAGAAGAAATAACTACTCCAGAGATGTGAAGAAAACTACAAAGACGGAGCCCTGGCTCTGCCATGAAAAGGAAACCAATCACTCCCTTGGGGTTGATCCCTCAACAGTTTCAGGCTGTCGTGGTCCTGCTCCTTTCAGGGCTGGAAGCACTATTTAATTTCATGGAAAAGGAGACATCTCCGAACAAAAGACTGCCATTTACCCAGAGAGAGAGGCCTTCTTATCAGCGAGGAGCTTAATAAGGAAAATAGTTTGTGCCTTGCACAACTTTCAAAAGCCGTTATTTCTATTCAGTTTTTGGTAAGTTAACAAAATAAGAGCCTGTTGAATGAATGAAGCACAGGATGGGAGAAACGATACAGTGGTAATATCTTGAGAGCTTAAGTTCCATTACTTTTACTAGAAGGTGCAGTGTATGCCTCAAGTGTGCTTGGTCTGCTGCAAAGTATGTTCATTTTCAAGAACGGAATGCTTAAATGAGGTCACATTTGGAGGTCACACCCCCGGACAAACAACCATATGCTGGCCTGTTCTAGAGTATCAGAAACTTCAATTGCTCAGTTAAATTAATCAAATTAACAAACGTTCCTTCTAGGAATTTCAAAAGAAAAAAAAGTATGTGAGCAGTATTTCAAATATTCACTTTCAGATGAATGATATGATGTAAATTAAAATTAGTACAAACTATTAATTGAATAGTAGCAGAATTAAATATAGACTCTTTTGTTGCATAGTGGTCAAAATGGTTTATTCATATCTGGTAAAATCAGAACTGAAATGATGACACGTATAAAGGACAGATAAAGTGGCTCTTTCACTACAGTCCACTGAATCCTTAACGCTCCCTTCCCCGCTGCCCATGATCTGACAGGTGGACTCCGCAGAGACCGTCTCAGCTGGCAGAACTCTCCACCTCCGCCCAGGGGCCGGCCCCCCTCATTCAAAAGCCCACACAACTGGTCTCTGAGACTTTATGACGTGCTTTCTTCCTTCTCCTCTGGCATCTTTTCCCAGATTGGCTTCTTGATGTGTTCTGGTAACCGCTCTAATTTTGTCTAAAAAGAGAAAAATAAAACTATAATATAATGTGGTCTTAACTGAACTCTTTGGCAACAAAATAGATTAGTTTTATTCCCTGAAATCCTCTTGGCTTCTTTTACCTCCCAGCCCTACCCCCCCCCCCAATACCCCTCTCATCTTTTTGTAGTCTGTGAACACAGAGAGAAGAAAACTTGATGGTATATAAAACTCTGATACATATAATCTATTTGATCCTCAGTGATCTCTAGGGACTGCCACCTAATGTGGCCCCATGTCTGGATAACTCCTGGGAGGGAGGGAGACTTCGGAGGCAGCTCGGAGAGGACTTGGCTGCAGTGCAAGATTATTTGGTTGAACTGGCACCACTGCACAGGGAGGTGGAGACCCCAACCACCGTGGCAGGTCTGCCTCCAGGTCTGCCAAGGCCCTCCCCTCCACTCCATGGGCAGGACAAGGCTGCAATCCCATACAATGAAAGGGTGATATACAAGTCCAGCCAATGGTGGAACGACTGGCTGCTATGATGCACACTGACCACCGGGGGCAGACCCTCAAAGCAGGAGCAGCCTCCTGGCGGTCAGTGTGCTCCCACAGGGGAGTGCCGCTCTGCCACAAGCTGGGCTGACAGCTGGCAAGCCCTCGGTGTGGCTGGAGCCTCTCCCGCCTTTGCACTCAGGCCCCGGGAGCGGGCCTACGCCATCCTTCAGACATCCCCCGAGGGCTCCCGGACTGCAAAGGGCACAGGCTGGGCTGAGGGACACCCTCCCCCGATGCCAGTGCACAGATGTGCTGTTGATATTTGGCTCTGTTAACTAATGAGTTTGCGACCACTGCTCTACTGTATTAAAACAATACAGATTGTGGGGGAAGGTCATAAAAAGACATGACTGCCTGTTTGACCTGTGAGCTGAACCCGAGCAATCAAAGGCTCCTTGCCTCCTCCCCTGTGTTTCAGAATGTATGTCCTGCTGCTTTCCCTGCTCCAAGGATACAGGTTTGAGGCAGAAATGTGGTACTGAGAATATCTGGACCGGGTACATGACTGACCCGTTAAGGTCTCCTGGATACACGGATGACCCGAGGTGGGCGTCTATATGACTGCTAAGGTTTGGCAGGTGTGTTCAGAAAGCACACTGTCTTGCAGCTGCCCATGACAAAGCTGGTCAATTCTCTTGCTTATTAAACCTGCCACCTACCATTCGGAGCGGCCTGCCTCTCTGTGGCCTCTCCTTGTCCTCTGCATTCCGGGTGGTTTCAGATCGCACCTGGGAAGCTCCCGGGAAGGCTGTGACCCCACTCACACTACCCCCAAAAGAGGTAGGAATTAGTCATACCTTTGCAACTTCCATGGCAACTCCTTCAGGTAAGTTCCGCTGAATGTATTCCAGGTACACATCTGCTGTGCTTCCAGTTAGATGCTTTAGCTGAAATTTCAAACATGAAATGGGTCCACACTCTGCTGTCAGAGTAGACATTTTAAAGTGTTAATGGTAAAAGTGGTAGGACCTTCTCTTCCTCTCGGACTCTGACACAGAATCCCATTTTAAAAACCCTGTAGATCCTCTGGTGGAACTGGATGGGGGAGCACGGCCCTGAGGCCTCCGCCTCCCAGGGGTCTGAGAGCCAGAGCCCACGGGACCCAGCTGGAAGCACGGTGTCGAGCAGTATACCCACACGAGTTTCACAAGAATACTTAAGACAAAGCACAAAAGGAAGCAAAGACTAGATTATAAGAGTTAGTATGAGATTTTCTGCATGCTCCATGCTGAATTGTTTCTGTTGGACATGGGTGCATAAAATTTTGGTGTTTTTTTTTTTCTATTTAATAGTGGAACTACATCTTAATATTTGTATCCTCAATGTATCCTCAATGTCTAGTACAGAGTTTCCAATGGAAAAGATGCACAGTTGTTTTAATAACATTTATAAATAATTTACCATGTGATGAAGTATTCGCAGTGTTTCAGATAAATACTCATTTAATCCTCACACTAACCTAGAAGATGGGTACCATTATTATTCCCATTTTGTAGGTCAAACAATTGAGGCCCAAGGCATACAGCTAGTAAGTGCCAGGACTAGGACCCGGCTACCTGACTCCAGAATCCAGGCACTCCTTAACCACAAGACTATGTCAACCCTCGTGGATGCAGAAGTTAATGAGGTGAATGAAAAAATCAAAATGCTGCCATAACAGACATGGGGAATCCAGGAAGCTGTGAAAAGAATTATTAGAACTGTATGAAAATTTAACTAGAGTTTTTGAAAAGAAGGCAAAATTATTCCAATGTTATCTTATTGTACAAAAATTAGTCAGCTGCCCTAGCTGGTTTGGCTAAGTGGACAGAGAGAGTGTCGGCCTGTGGGGACTGAAAGGGTTCGTTTCTGGTCAAGGGCGTATGCCCGGACTGCGGACTTGATCCCTGCTGGGGACATGCAGGAGGTGGGCGGCTGATCAATGATTTTCTCTCATCATTTACGTTTCTATCTCTCTCTTCTTCTCACTTCCTCTCTGAAATCAATAAAAATAGATTTAAAAAAATAAGTAATTAGTCAGCTTCCCAGCTGGTTTGATTCAGTGCTCAGAGTGCAGGCCTGTGGACTGAAGGTCACGATTCAATCCTAGTCAAAGTCATGTACTTCTGTTGCAGGCCTGCATGAGGCAATCAATCAATATTTCTTTCTGTCTCTCTACCTCCTTTCCCCTCTCTCTAAAAATCAATGGAAAGAATATCCTCTAGTGAGGATTAACAGACAAAAAATAATGCTTATATGGTTTGATCTGTTGCTCTGAGAAATACAAATTGTTCTAGGGGCAATCAAATTTTTAAAAAATTAGTCAGCAGCATCTGCATTATTGAGCTGAAGTAGAACTATTCTAAACGATGGCTTTATTTGAGTTTGATTTTCCTATCTGTTGCTCCCATAAACACAAAAGGACCTTTTACCTTCTTTGCAACCATTAGCATAAGCTGACTAAAAGGAAGTCAGCCAAGGTGAAAGGAAAGTTATGCTAGCATGAAATGTGGGCATTTCAAAAATACCTGGATATCTGAAATATTATAAACTCACCTCAAAGCACCTGTAAAGTGTTCTCATTTCATACTGAACTCTGTGCTTCTTGAAAATATGCACTGATTTGAGAAGAGTAAATCGCTCTATTTTCCTTGGAGGTTCATGTCTGAAAATGAATGGGCAAAACAACATGCTCAAACTAAGTGATGATAAATCCTTAGTCAGTGATATCAAAGCACGATCCCACAATTCTGTAGGTCAGGTTCATGCACAATTACAGGCATTAACTACCATTTACAGACTTCTACTTGTCAGGACTGTCATCTATGCTTAACAAACGATGTCATAAAGCTCAGGCCAAAATAAACACCTTGGACAGCAACACAAATATTTTTTCTCTCACAGCCCCAAAATTGAGCCTTGTCATGCAAGCACATACACCCTTTCTCTCTCTCTCTCTCTCTCTCTCTCTCTCTCTCTCTCTCTCTCTCTCTCTCTCTCTCTCACACACACACACACACACACACACACCTCCAGCTTTTACAGCCACGAAGTCCCTTACTGACCAAATTTATGAACTGTGAAAAGTGACACCAATGGGATGGACACAGTTGTAATGTCTGCTGTGTTATTTTAGGAAAACTTACAGATGATCCATAATCATAAAGCCATAGTCTGTTATGGAACACGTGGATTCATTGTGTTTTGTAAAGAGGCGAGCTGGCACAGCCCCGATGGCCTTGTTCTACATCAGGAGCAGGTGACGAGACAAAGGAGGGAGTTACTCTGGACCCTGCAGTGACTTCAGGGCCCAGAACGCTTACCTTGCTCAGACATGAAATTACTGAGTGGCTGGTGTTTGTCAGGGCAGTTTTGAAACAATGAACATATTAGCCAAAGATCATCAAATCAAAGGGTCTATAAAAGGACTGCTTGCCCACCTAACTGCCTCTCTGCCCCATGGAGATCCCAGACAAAAGATCTGTTGCTCTGAGAAATACAAATTGGATCTCCTGTCTGTGAAATTGGTAGAGAAAAGATTTCCTTCATTTTCCTGGTTCACTCATTATAGCATGTAAACATTCTAGAAGACAGGAGGGATAACCCTGCTTAGGAAAAGCTACACCCTCCCTATCATGAGTTCTATTCCATTTTAAAAGCTCAGACGTGGCTGGAATCAGCACCATTTTCTGGCTGACAATGTTATAACAACTGACAGTCAGATTAGGAAAGATTATACTTACACTTCAATAGAGATCCCAAGTTCTTTAGCAGCAAGCACAGCAAAATATTCATAGCTGTCCAACACTGCCTTATCATGGCCTTTTACTAAAACCGACAGGCGCTTATACAACGTGTCTGGTTCATCAGAAATAGTTATCTACAATTTTGAAATAAAAAAGAAAAATTTCATTTGTGGTTCCTCTAATATTTACAACTAAAATATTTAACGTATTATCCTCACTCAATTGAGCAACTTCAGAGTTTAGTAATAAAGGGGGAGAGAAATGCTATGTAACATTTTAACACTATAAGCTCAAGTATCTCATTACTATCACATTCAGATCTGCACAATGACCCTTAGAATCTGTTAAAATGCAGTTTGAATCAAAGGGACTTTCAAGGCAACAAAATCACTAATGGAACCTTCTAAATTAAGAGTTATTGAGCCCCAAATCCACAAGGGAAAGGATTTTGGGGTCTATTAACAAAGTAGCCTGGTCAGAAGACCTGGATTGGGAATTAAACTGCAACTTCCAGCTAAATGGCAATGGACAAGTCACATAATCTCACTGCACTTTAGTTTTCTCATATATAAAACAGCATACCGATGCTACAGCTCACAGCATTTCATTAGAGAACCAGAGGCCCTGTGCAGGAGATTCGTGCACTCAGGGGGGTCCCTCAGCCCGGCCTGTGCCCTCTTGCAGTCCGGGAGCCCTCGGGGGATGTCTGACTGATGGCTTAAGGCGTCAGTCGGATATACTTAGTGCTGCTGTGGAGGCGGGAGAGGCTCGCCACCACCCCACACCTGCACTTGCCAGCTATGAGCCCGGCTTCTGGCTGAGTGGAGCTCCCCCTGTGGGAGTGCACAGACCCCTAGGGGGCAGCTCCTGCGTTGAGCATCTGCCCCCTGGTGTCAGTGCACATCATAGCAACCAGTTGTTTCACCGTTTGGTCCATTTGCATATTAGCCTTTTATTATATAGGACTATAGGCTTGGTACACGAAATTAGTGCACAGAGAGGGGATCCCCTCAGCCCAGCCTGCACCCTCTCCAATCTGGGACCCCTTGAGGGATGTCCAATCCCGGGAATTGGGCCTAAACTGGCAGTCAGACATCCCTCTCACAATCCTGGATTGCTGGCTCCTAATCACTCATCTGCCTGCCTGCCTGGTCACCTCTAAATGCCCCTGCTGCTGGCCAGGTAGTTCCTAATGGTCTCCGCCGCGCGCCCCGCCCCGCTGGCCTGGTTGCCCCACACAGCCTGCTTGTTCAGTTGTTTGGTCGTCCCTTACTAAACCCCCTACTGGCCTGGTCATAGGCAGCCATCTTGTGAGGGCCTGAGGGTCAATTTGCATATTACCTCTTTATTGTATAGGACATATATATCTTTTATTGATTTCAGAAAGGAAGGGAGTGGGAAAGAGGGAAAAACATTAATGATGAGAGAATCATGAATTGGCTGTTTGGTCTATTTGCATATTAGCTTTTATTATATAGAATAAGAAAACAGATTAAAGTGTTTATAAATGATAAAGCATACTGTATAATAAAAGCATAATATGCAAACTGACTGAATGTCATAATGACCCATTGGCAGGGGGCAGGGCTGGAGAGCAGGCAGCACCAGGCCAGCCAAGGCGCAGTAGCGGCCAGTGGTGGAGGGACGATGGGGGAGGCGGGCTGGCCACTCACCAGCGGGCAGCAGCCCCTGATCAGCCTGCCCGGTCTCCTCCCGCAGAGGGAGGCCAGACTGTGGCTTACAGGACATCCCCTGAGGGCTCCTGGGCTGTGAGAGGGCACAGGCCGGGCTGAGGGACCCCCCATCATAGGGGGCATGAGTTTTTGTGCATGAGGCCCTCTAGTTGTTATATAAAGGTAATTACTATTCATATTCTCTTTTTTTTATCCTCACCTGAGGATATGTTTATTGATTTTAGAGAGGAAGAGAGAGAGACAGAGAGACAAACATTGATGTGAGAATCATCAATCAGTTACCTCCTGTACATGGCCCAACTGGGGATCAAAACCTGTAAACTAGATAATCCCCTGACCTGGAACTGAACCCACAACCTTTTAGTGTAAGGAACGATGCTTCAACAGACTTAGCCAACCTGCAAGGGCCCATTCATATTCTTTATTTTAAAATGTCTTTAAGAGAGAAACATTGATCAGCTGCTTCCTGCACAACTCCCTACTGGGGATTGAACCCACGACCCGGGCCTGTGCCCTGACTGGGAATGGAGCCAGTGACCTCTCCGTGCATGGGACAATGCTCAACCAACTGAGCTACGGGCCAGGGCCATCTTCTTTTTAAAAAATATATTTTTACTGATTTTAGAGAGAAAGGGAGAGGGAGAGAGAAACATCAATGATGAGAATCACTGATCGGCTGCCTCTTGCACACCTCCTACTGGGAATTGAGATTGCAACCCAGGCCTGTGTCCTGACTGGACTCGAACCACAACCTTTGGGTTCATAGGTCAACACTCAACCTCTGAGCCAAGCCAGCCGGGGTAGGGCCATATTCTTTATTAGGCTTTATTCATGGTTTGCCTGCCATAATAGAAAAATTACTCATTTCTAATTAAAATGTTATGAGACTGACTGTACACATAACTTCTAACTCTCCCGCCCTAATACTTAAAATCTTAGAAATAATGGGTTTGATGTTTCTTTCTTCCAAGAGGTGAATTACCTTCCACTTCATTCATCCATTAAACCAGTGATTTATACACTAATCCAATGATTCGGGGTTAATTACTTTACCCCTGAAAGAAGATCTACTTACATAACCAGGAAGCTAGACATTCACTCTCAATTACCCCAAATAGAGTTGTTGGAAGAACAAATATACTAATATCCTATGGCAAAAGTTGGGGGACAAGAGAAGGGGGAATATAGCCCTAAGATGTATTCTATTGTAATTGGTTTCTATAGATTTTTTAAAATTAAGTAATTAATTAGTTAAAAAAAATTTTTTTTTGAGAGAGAGAGAGAGAGAGAAAGAGAGAGAGAGACTGATTTGTTGTTCCACTTATTTATGTACTCATTAGGTGACTCCTGTATATGCCCTGACTGGGGATTGAACCATATATACCTTGGCGTATTGGGATGACACCCTAACCAACTAAGCTATCTGGCCAGGGCTCCCTACAAGGTTTTGAATTTGTTAAAAATACTAAAATTCAGGAGATTTCACAAAAATAAATCAGATTTCAGTTTATCTTGGAAAAGTTAGATAATCTGGCATCACTAGGTCTGACTTCCGACACGGCAACAAGTGGCTGGAGTAAGTAGTAGCTGTCTCACTTCTCAGGGGCACAGCCGGTCATGTGACCACCCTGTCACCCCTCCTTACAGCCGAGGCCATGCAGGCATCTGAGCTGCAGACCTAGGGATGTATGCATTGTCATGGAAATATATCCAGTATCTACTAAGTGGAAAAAATGAAACAGAGTACATTACGTATAACACAATTCTACTTTGGTGTGCATGTGCCTAGGTATAATGGTTACGTACAGACTAAAAAGATTCATACTAACTGTTACCGAGGGTTATTTGAGGGGTGGAACTGGAAAAAATGGGACTCTATAAGGATTTCAAAAAATTACGAATAACACAAAAACTGGATTGAAGGAACCATGGCTTTTACTTAAATGCAACAAGGTCAAACAGCTACTTCTGGATTTTACTTCTATTACTGCTCTTTCTCACTGTCAAGGCCCTGGCTCACTGTCTTAACATGAGAACAAAGACTTGACAGCTACAGGGAACAAGTTTTCCTTGAACCTATAACATATCCTGCATCATTCATTATGACGATTCTTCACGTTATTCTGAGTTACAAGAAAAAGACTGCTCACTCCCACAGTATGTGGGGTAAATAATTTATCCTTTTAGAACTTGCCTCGATACCCTGAAAGAGAACATGGGCACCAGGGACATCAGAGAATACTCTACTCAGGCACCCTATGCAATTGCCAGTATTCCAGAACAAAAATCATTAGTCATAAGGCATTTGGGAAACAGCCCCGCGTGGAATAAGGAGAAGTAGTAGCTAATGCTGCTCCCTGTGCCAGGATGCAGGCAGTACATACCTCGGGCCTGGTTACGTCCTTGGGAAGATCAACATGAAGGTTTGAAAACTGTACCCACTTCATGCTGGAACTGCTGTGTGGAGGGGAAAAGAGACACCTCAGTGAAATACCACAGGAGCCCACTCCTTGTTCAGTGAAGCACATCTAACTGCATACTTACAGAAGAAAGGCGCCATTTCTGGGTGTACTGATCTTAGAACTGTTTACAGAAAAATCCCTCGGACCCTTAAAAAAGAAACAGGCACATGTTAGAATTAAAGTCAATCACCAAACCATTCAGTTTTCACTAAAAAAAAAAATCAAAAGATGTATGCTGTTTCAAATAAAGAGCTATCTTGTTATTTCCGATGAAGATATTGGGTAACTAAAATGCCAAATTAGATCTTTTTTAAAAACAACAACAAGACAATAGTAGCATTGATAATCAAAAGGGACTCTCAAAATACTAGAGAATCTATATATTTTAAAGTTTAGAAGAAATTTTTAAAACAAGTAATTTTCACATTAAAATAACAGCTATAACTTAAATTTGTGGACATCAAAGAAAAAATGTGGCTTAATTCCCCCATTATTTTTTACAGATTAAATGTAATCCAATATAATACTTATTTGCCTCAATACTTTTGAACAAAAATGTCTTTATAAGTTATTAAGAGTTGAAATAAGAATTCTGAAGTACACTTCATTTGAATTTTCTATCCACCTTTTCCAGCATATGTATTTCTTGGCTTGGCTGGGACAACTAGTTTATAAACAGAAATAAACACTGAAACATTCATTTTACATCATTACTGTGCCTCAAAACAATCCAGCTTTTCCAAATCCTTTGTTGTCAGCTCCCCCTAGTGGATCAAAACTTCTATATAACATGGTACTATATATATATATATATATATATATATATATATATATATATATATATATATATATTTACTTAATTTGCTATGTTTTTCCTTTAAGCTTTCATGAGATTTAAAGACAGATCTTGTAACATAGAAAGCCATACCAGAAACCTACACGATCCTATTAACCAATGTCACCCCAATAAATTTAATTTAAAAAGTGTAACCCAAGAAATTGGAAGCATGGATCCTTAAAACTACTCTGAAGATGAGAATAACTGTTTAGCACAAGTGAAGTTTAATTATAACTGAAGGTCATCTAGAGAAAGACTTGTGGAATATAATGAACAGCATAAACTGATCAACAAAAACAGATCCAGAGACAGAGAAGCATCGACCAGACTGCCAAACCTCAGAGGGAAGGTTGGGGTAAGGGAGAGAGATCAAACAAAGGACTTGTGTGCATGCATATAAGCCTCACCAATGGACACAGGCACCATGGGTGTGAGGGCATGAGGGGAGGTGGGGGGGAAAATGGGGGGATAAGGACACATATGTAATACCTTAATCAACAAAGAAAAAAAAAGCTACTCTGAAGATGAGAGTAACTGTTTAGCACAACTGAAGTTTAATTATAACAACTGAAGGTCATCTAAACATGTTAAAGCCCATTCTTAGTTTTTTGTCCTCCTTCCCTTCTTCACCCAAGATGGAAGCAAATTAAGTATTTTATTTAATATAAATAAATTTTATTTAATATTCTCCCTTGGATCAGGGAGAAACAAAAAGAGGAGGAAGTCAGGTACAATACCAGGTAGGAAGAGGTAAGGAGCCATTCTTCACACAGAATCACACTGAACCCATCCTCCCCCCCCCACACACACACATTTCTGCCAGGGACCCCACTAATTCAGTGTACACCCGCCACTGCTATTCTCCCAGTATAAACCTCTGCTTTTACTTACTTATTGTTTAAATGCATTACTTTTTTGGAGACAGAGGATGGGAGGAGAGAGGGTAATGTCACTTAGCTGCCCCGCTTATTTATGCATTCACTGGCTGATTCTTGCAGGCGCCCCGACTGGCACTGAATGAAACACTGGACCAGCCCTCACCAACGGCGCTACCCGGCCCAGGCAAACACCTCTGCTGCTAGGAGCTGGAGGCTAAGTGCTGTTACAGCCAAGACTAACCTTCAAATGTTCTAACATTTTCTTTTCGAGGAGGTTAAAGGTTACCTGGGTACGTGTCTTCCTTCAACATTTCAACCTCTAACACCATCAGTCTTTTCTTTAAAAAATTTTTTTTATTGACCTTTCTCAGAAAGGGAGAGAGATAGAGCCAGAATCATCAGTGAGAGAGAAACATCGATCAGCTGCCTCCTGCACAACCCCTATTGGGGATGTGCTCGCAACTAAGGTACATGCCCCTGGCTGGAATCGAACCTGGGACCCTTCAGTCCGCAGACCGATGCTCTATCCACCGAGCCAAACTGGCCAGGGCACCAGAAAAGAACAGTGGTTCTCAAAGTGTGCTCTGAGGGCCTCTGGGAGCCTGGCACACCCTCGGGGGCCTGCAAGGCTGAAGCGACCGCCACAGGAACGCTGAGGCTTTGCGGGCCCCTCTCCCCTCTCATCCTCTCAGTGAGCTTTCCCAGAGGCGGAGTGACCTGCGGTAAGAATACAGAAGCAGACACAAGGCTCCAGCTGACTCCAAAAAGCCAGACCTTCAAGAGATTGGGAAAAACATAAAACACGGCCAGTCGTCTCATTCTCAGTAAATGTTTTGGAAAATTTAATTATTGTCGTAAATATGTTAATTAGGTTAACATGTAATGAGTGTATGGGCATTATTTTTAAAGGCACAAGCACTTTTAGGATTCTCAGTTTTATTTTCTGAAAAGCTACATATCGGTAACTGAGACCCACACAGACAAGTTGTCTGGAGCTGACCATTTTTAGGGTGTCAAGGGGCGCTGAGGCCCCAAACCTGCAGAACCGCTGCTTAAGCTTCTGCTTCTGCAAAGGACCTCGCAGCGGCTATTTCACCCCCACCTCCGACGTGAGTGACTCGGACCTAAATCTCACAACCCCTGGACCGGAGGAGAGCGTCTCGATTTAGTTTGTGGGGAGGATCTGAGATCTCAGCCCCTCATTTTCTCCAGGCGAGTTTCCGGTCTTCTGAGCCTCGGTTTATTTTGCCAACATAAATGGGGGGCGGGTCTGGGATGTGTGACTTTCAACATCCTTTCCATTTCTATCATTCTTTTTTGTTCCTGCCTTTGCCCTGACTTCTGCTTTATCCCAAGCGAGAATTCGAGATAAAACCAATCCCTTCCTGGCCACCGTCCTGCAAACGAGCCAAGATGCGGAATAAAATCGCAGAAGGCTCCTGGTGGCCAGAACGACGGCTGTCAGACAGACTTGGGGGCAGCTGTTCCAGCGGGCCCGCCTAGCTCCCCCGCCAGCCCGGTACCTGCCTGCCAGAGGCGCCGGCACAAGGCCCCGAGCGCTGCGCGCGCCGCCATCTTGCCGTCGGCGTCCCGGGATCGCTTCCGAGGTCACAGGGCGTCCTCGACCATAGAGTTCCGCAGGAGGAGAGAGTGTACCCTCTGTTCCGGCACCGGAAGGACCATAGAGATAGAGTTCCATGCTTTGTAAGGGCGGGATTGGGACTCCGGTAGGCTTCCCGGCCAGGTACCCGGTCTTGGTGAGGTTCCTGCAGCTTGTTTGTGGATAGTTTCCAAGGTCCTGCAATGTTTTCCTCTACAAATCGTTTTTTGTACTGTGTGGTTCCTGTTTTTTTACAGGCAAACATAAACACGAGCTTGGAACAAAAATACATTGACAGCGATTATCTCTGGGTAGAGGATTAATGGTTGATTTGTGTTCCTATTTCTGTAGCTTGAAAAATGTTACAAAATCCCTTTTCCTTACTGCAGGAGCCTTGTAGTTATGGCCTCAATCCTGCCCGCCTTCCCCATACCAATTGGCATTTTTGTCAGCCATGCTGTGCACCGCTGTCCCACAGATTTTCCCAAATCTTAATTTTCTTAGGTTACCTTAGTGTTTCAGACCTTCACCCAGTACCACAAGCCAAAAGGTGTTATAAACAGAAAGTGTCTGGTTATTAACATCTCCCATAATTGAGCTCCAACTAAAAGGTTTGTTACCCGGTTTTGCTGTAATAAAAATGTTCTTCCACGTGTGCAGTTCTCTAAGCTTTGTTTCCCTGAAGTGCTTTCACATATACCGTTCAGTATAATGGAAAACCCCGGGCTTATAATGAGGAGATCTGGGTGTAGACCCAGGTTTCCCATTTAGCTGAGTGACTTGGGCAAGTTTCTCCCCTCTCCGAGCCTCCGTTTCATATATCAATAATAGTTTCCTCCTGCAAATAGTTGCTTGGGGGATTAAATGAGATACTGAGGCATGATGTTTAGTACAATGCCTGGCCCATAATAATGCAAATAGATGGTATTGGTACCATAAAGTTGCTTCTGCTTCACCTGCCTCACAAGATTGTTAAGATTAAAGTTTGTTAAAAACCAAGTTTTGGGGAGCATTTTGTAGCATGTAAAGTATTGTGCAAATGTAAAGTTGTTTGTTTTTCCTTTCCTACCCTAATTTGCAGGCTAGAGAACCAAGGAAGAGATAGAATGATTTGCCCACTATCATACAAATTGATGAAAGATCTAGGACCAAAACCAAGTTTTCCTGCCCGTTAGATTGGCCTCTGCTTACTGGAACTCATTCCCTGTGGAGGTGTGGTCCTATCCCAGAGCGTGGGGATGCCGCACTTTACCTGTGCACACCTCTGCATGCTTGGCTCTGCGGGCTCCCACTCAGAACTGTGACATCCAAAGTTGGCTGGTCTGTCTCAGCCAGCGGTGTTTCCAACAGCTCTCCAGTTCTGTTGCTGCTTCTGAAGTTTGCACCAGTCTGTGTGCCACTTCTGTGATGCTCCTCAGCCTGCCTCTGCCCTTCGAGTGCCCGCAGTTGGGGCATGGTCCCCCCCTGCCACATGATGGTGACAGTACAGCTTGCAAGTGACTTTCACCTGCGTTACCTGATCTGATCCTCAGAAGAGGAAATGAGGAAACTGAGGCTCAGAGATGAAGTGACTCACACAAATCATATGGTGAATTAGTTACAGCCGAACCGGTAACCCTTTTCAAGACTCCAGTTTGATGCCTTTCCACCCGGGCAGTGGGCTGGTGCTGACCCCATGATCAGCTCAGTGCTGTGTAAAGCCTCTTTGGGTGTGAGGATTAGATTCTCACTTCCCCACTCTCCTGCAGGTAAAGGGGTTTATTTTATTTTTAAATATTCATCTGAGGATATTTCTATTGATATATAGATTTTTTTTTTGAGAGTGAAAGGGAGGGAGGCAGGAGAGAGGAAAAAACATGGATGTGAAACACATTGATTGGTTGCCTCCTACACGGTGCCCTGAACGGGCCAGGAGTTGATTCTGTAACCAACGTACATGCCCTTGACCAGGAATCAAATCCGTGACCCTTCAGTCCACAGGCTGATGCTCTAACCATTGAGAAAAACCAGCCAGGCCTATTTTTTTATTTTTCACTTTAAAAACATGTGTGATCTGGACTGCTCTTGTAACTGGATATGTGGACTCAAAGCATCCTTAAGGACTGGATGCCCTCTCCATTTCTGTGGCCAAACATGGTCTTTATTGATGGGCGCTCTCTGATTACAAATAGTTTCTGTGCCCTCAGGACTCTGCCTTGCTGTGGCCACTGCCTGCTGCCTTTGACTCATCAAGTTTCTCTATTCATATTCTTAGTTGTGGGAAGTTGATTTGGTCCCCTTGTTTTTCTGGGCTAAGTCATGTCAAATGTCACCTAATGGCCTACGGGCCTGATAGCTTGATGTCAGGTGCCAGCCCTGGTCCAACTAGCTGCAGGCAAGATGGGAGTCATTGTGAGGGGCAAACCCTGGTTTTGCCAACAGAGGGGCTGTGGACAGGGCCCTTGGGTATAGTCTGTGGGCAAGGACAGTGTTCTGAAGGTTGGCCTACTATAGGTCTCTTCCCTACCACCTAACTTTTAAACCTCTAACTAATGCAGATGAATAGGAGGTCAAATAATTCTGGAGAGTTGAGGCAAGTCCACCTTGTTTTGTACCCAGGAAAAATAAAAGTATGTGCATCAAATATTTCTAAGTTATATCGTATTTTGATTCCACCAGTGGTTCGGTTTAATTTTTTAATTTTTTTGTTAATCCTTATTCGAGGATATTTTTCCATTGATTTTGTGGTTGGGGGGTAAAGAACTATGAATTTATTAGGTCATCTGGAAAGCCAGATGGGCTGACCCCCAAAATGGCACCAGATTCCATTGATTTTTAGAGCAAATGGAAGGGAGTGGGAGAGACATAAAGAAACACCGACATGAGAGAGACATTTTTGGTTGTCTCCTGCACGTGCCCTGAACCAGGGCTGGGGATCAAGTCTACAGCTGAGGTCTGTGCTCTTGACTGGAATCAAACCCAGGACTCTTTAGTTCTCAGGTTGACGCTCTATCCACTGAGCCAAACCAGTGAGGGCCAGTGGTTCTGTTTTAGAAGACAGCCTTTTCCTCTTGGTTGTGATGGTTTCATGGTTAATACTTATCTCCAAACTCATCAAGTTACATACAGTAAATATGCATAACTTTTTATGTCAATCGTATCTCAATAAAGTGGTTACAAATGGTAATACTGCCAAAAATAAAATTACGCAGGCAGAGGAAGTAACGACCCAAAACAGTCCAAGGAGAGATCCATTTGCATGTGACGGTATGTAGGAAGGCAGAGCAAACATGTAGGGCTGCCTGGCTTCACAGCTCAGAAGCAAACACTCCCCTTGGGGTGGTGTTGGGGGGAGAACAGCTCTTTTCAAAAGGTTGTCTCTCTCCTATAAAGGACATAATCAGCCCTTGGGCTCCTTGTTATAGGAATGTCTCTTGATCCAAAGATCACTGCAGTTCACTTAGGAACATATTACTCAATTTCTTAACATGCCTTCCTAATTGTCTTGCTTGTGTCAACATCAAAACTCATCCGCATTTCTAGTGCGAACTGCAGCCAGGTGGCTTGGCTGAGCGTGTAGAAATTCAGAACTGACTTTAGGTAACCTCAGAAGAGCTTTTGTTTACACACACACACACACACACACACACCCCTGAAACATTAGCGATAATTAATGTAACAGGTCGTTGCTGAGCACCTGTTTTAAATGGCTGTGCATATGTGGGTAACGGTGAGTGAGGCGGCTCACAAATGAATAAAACATGACCTTTGCTTTTCCCAGCGGTGGAACTGGACCAGGTCCCAGAGCCCTGTGTTGTCTTTCTAAGTACGGGATTCCTCGGCAGGAAGGAATGATGTCACAGTCATTTTCATACACTCCGCTCCCTCGGGTAGAATACAGTGTGGAACAGCGCCTAGTACATGGGGCTCCCGGGGATGGGCAGATGGCTGTACCAGTAGGAGAAGGCTTCGGATTGGACACCGGGCCAGTACAGTGCTTCTAGAGGAATAGCTGCTTAACGCCGACAGCCAAAATGGAAGTAAAACAGCCAAAGAACCTGAACTATCAAGGTGCTAACAGGTGTGCCCCGCTTGAAGCCAATTCTGTATAAAGCCCAGAATTTTAGATTACTCTTGAAGTTTATTGTTGACCATTAAAAAAGTAAACACATTCTTTAGAATTTGGAGGTCCAGACCAGCAATGCATGCAAACTGTGAGATACCTGTGTGAATACGAGACCCCAGTAAGGTGACCAGACGTCCCCGATTTTTAACAATTTGTCCCGCGTCCCACGGCGTTTTAAAAATCGGGACTGTTTTAAAACGTTGTCGGACGCGGGACACATTGTTAAAAATCGGGACTGTCCCGCCAAAAGCGGGACGTCTGATCACCTTACCCTAGTGGTTAGACACCACCGGGAGGGTTCTGAATTCATTCACTGCTGGAGTACAGAAATCTCTGTCCCCCCCCCCCCCCCCCCCAGTAGGGGCAGGCACTTCAATGAGCATGAAACCTGATCAGCCAACTTCTAACGGGTCTAGAGAAGCCAGCTAACGTAAGGTGACCAGACGTCCCGATTTTTAACAATTTGTCCCGTGGTGTTTTAAAAAAGTCCCAGTTTTTGGAAAGAATGCACGACAAGTTAGGGAACGACGGGAGAACAGGAAGGGAATATACGGTTCTCGGCGGCCGTGTGGCTATTTAGCCAGGATATGAGTTTTATATTATTTTTGTTAATTTTATAATGTTAAACTTTAATGATAACAAATAATTGTTGAGAACTGATTATCAAGAACTGCTTATCAAAGTTCGCATTGATGATCAGTTGTTAGAATTGTGGAATACGCGCTGTCCTTACCAGGAACTAATGCTGCGACTGAATGTGTTTTTTCTACGGTAAATAAAGTGTGGACATGGGAAAAACCACAATTAAGTGTTGAGATTTTGAAAGCCATTTTGTGTGTGAAATACAATTTAACAAATTCTTGTGAAAAATTTCATGACCTTCAACAGCAATCTACTAAAAAAAAATTCACTCAAATGAGAAATATGCCAAAGAATAAGATACTATACATATTTTTAAAAATTTATTATATTTGTAAATTGTACTTATGTTGAAATTTTAAAAAATATATTACAATACTATTTTTGTGTTCTATGGACATTTTTGTTGCTCCATATAGACCAAATTTTTAATCAAGAACCCCCCTTCCCCGGTCAATGGTGTCCCGATTTACCAATGTTAAAATCTGGTCACCTTAAACTAACAGACAAATTCCAATTTATCCAGCATTGAGAAGTCATTTCCGTGGCTAGAAATAAGGAAT